GGACCCCGGGGGACGGCGGGGCCTGTGCTGCGCCCACAGCCCCCGTGGGTGGGCCGGCCCGGTGCCTGTCGGGAGCCCTTTCCCGCCCATCCTGTGGCCACGCCAGCCTGGAGGCCCCGCCTGCCCCACTCAGAGCCACCAGGGCCCCGGCAGGGACAGAAGCAGCTTGGGGCAGGTCTTCCCTAGGTGGGGGCGACCCAGACTCATCCTGTCGCATTTCCGGGCTTCTCCTGTAGAGCGTGGGGCTTCCCGCAGCCGTCGTGCCGGGGCCTGGCGTGGGGCTCCGGCTGGGTGTCCACAGGGCTGAGCTGGGCGCTGCGGGTGGGCCACCCCGCCCGGGCACAGGCGTCACTGCCATCGCTGCCTCCCTGGAGGGAAGAGCAGGGCGGTGGGTGGGCAGTGTGCATGGGCCGCCCGTGTGGGTCCTGCACGGGGCAGTGCCGGCGGCAGCTCCCTCCAGACTCCCGGGCCCTGGGGACCGGTGCCCAGATTGGTCTCAGGGTCTCTGTGTACTTAGTGCAGGAGTGAAGAGCTGATCTGTCACCCAGAGCAACACCTCGGGGGGAGGAGGAGCCTGGGCCAGGAGCCGTCCCGGAGGAGCTGGTCTGGTGGGCCGGTCGGCGCCAGGCTCTGTCCCTTAGGACAGGCGTCTCTAACTACGGCCGGCCTTGCACGTTTATCCTGCCTGCCGGGTGTTTTTGCCGCCACTGCCTGTCCTGCGTAGCAGCCAACTCGTCCCGGGCCCACAGTACCTGGAAGTCCAACCGTCTGAGGGACAGTGAAAAGGGCCCGTTTGAAAAGTTTGAGGACCCCTGCCTTAGGGAATGCACGTTGGCGTTTCTAGGGTGGGCAGTTTGGCTTAGGCTGACAGACCCTCCCCCAGGATCTGCCTTGTGGCACCTCCAGGCCAAGTTGATGATTCCTGTGTTACTTTGTAGCAAATTCGAGATGATACATTGTTTCAACTCCAAACGCCTTTCAGTATGGAGTTCTTTTTTTTTTCTTTAGACAGGGTCTTGCTCTGTCACCCAGGCTAGAGTGCAGTGGCATCAGCCTAGCTCACTGCAAACTCAAACTTGTGGGTTTGAGCAATCCTCCTGCCTCAGCCTCCCGAGTAGCTGGAACTACAGGCATGCGCCACTGGCCCGGCTAAATTTTTTGTGTATATTTTTAGTTGGCAATTAATTTCTTTGTATTTTTAGTAGAGTGGGGTCTCGCTCTTGCTCAGGCCTGGTCTCGGAATCCTGAGCTCAAACGATCCTCCTATCCGGCCTCTCCAGAGTGCTGGATGTACAGGCATGAGCCACCGCGCCTGGCCTGAAAGTCATTTTAATATAGTTTTTTTTTTTTTGAGACACAATCTCACTTTGTTGCCCAGTTAGAGTGAGTGCCTGGCCATCAGCCTAGCTCACAGCACCTCAAACTCCTGGCGCTCAAGCAATCCTCCTGCCTCAGCCTCCCGAGAGCTGGGATCAGGCATGCGCCCATGCCCAGCTAATTTTTTCTATATAGTATTAGTTGGCCAATAATTTCTTCTATTTATAGTAGAGAGGGGTCGTCTCACTCTTGCTCAGGCCGGTTTCGAACTCTTGACCTCGAGCGATCGCACCTAGTTTTAGACTCTTGATTGTATAGACCTTGCAAGTTTGCCATTTTAGACACAGCCCACTGGGTGACACTGCGCAGCATCTGCCCGTGGTCCGAGATTCTCCGCGAAGCGTCTTCCTCGGGTGCGTGGGGTCGCGCTTGAGCTGGGCTCTTTATTGCCCATCAGAGAGAGCGGATCTCCCCATTCCTTCTTTCCTTGAGTGCACTGGTCATAGGCCCCATTTCCATCCACGGTTTGGGTGGTCGGCTGTGGAAGACATTGCTCCGGGACGCAGAAAGTGCTCAGCAGCCGGGGAGGGCAGCGTCCTCTGGGCACGGGTGGGGGGGTTGTCCCTTCGCCTGGCACTTTTTTTGG